AAATAAACAAAAATTGTAAAATTTTCAAAATGGCGTCCTTGAAATTCTTTAAAAAATTGTAGCACGGTAGCGGCATTTAATAACCATTAGTACCGTCCCAGTTCATTTAGATAAAATTGATAAATAGCAGATTTTTAGCGATGGGCTCAATCTTAGAACCATAGGCCAACATTAAGGCCATTTCCCCTATATATCAAAATGTCCTTGCCCGATTTTTGAAAAAGTAAAATTAGAAAAAAGCGTATGAAAAATGCTAACTTAATAAAATTAATAAAATGTTCAAAACCATACACTCTGACAGAAATTGTAGAATAAGAATTTTTGTTAATTTTTTAAATTTTTTGATTATACGCTTTTTTTGTATTTTTTCACAGAAATTAATGTCTCAAACATTGTATTGTGATTTAAACTTAAATAAAAAAACGATTTATCAAATTGGCAAATCATTGCCCATAAACAAACAATTATGCAAAGTTTCAAGCGACCTTCTCGAATTTTCCGATTCAAAATTTGGCGTGGAACTGCTCAAATTAAGATAGTTTTTTATACCAACATTGGACTAAACTAGACAAACCAAAATATGGGTAATTTTTATAACACAAATAAGGGTAAATATGATTCATATCTGATATAGAAAGCCGAGCCGTTATATGGTATGGCCAATGTTACTCGTCAAATTTATTGTGTTAATTCAAAGACTCTCAATTGATAAGGCTTGTACTCGAAAAAAATGCACCATTTTTATACGTGTCTAACTTTTTATCCGTGAGTTAAAATTGATGAAAATCTTGGTATAACTAGTTTGGAGTGAGTTGTTCACATGTGCAAAATTTCATAACAATCGGTTCAGTGGTTATTGAGATGTCATCGAAACAAGAAGAAAATCGCCGGAGAATTTTGCGCGCCGTCATGGAAAATCCGACTGCGACCATGAGATGGATCGGAAGACAACTGGGAATCACCCATACAACTGTGTCTCGGGTGGTAAAATCGTTTAAGGACGACCGAGCGGCGGGCTGGAAATGGAAGAAAATCGAAGACAGCTGAACCTGTGAAGGCCCGGCAGGTGTTGGATTATTTCAAGCGTAATCTGAACCTTTCGATTCGCGACGCGGCTCTGAAGGCAAAGTGTTCCACCTGGTTCGTTCAGCAAACCATAAAACGAGCTGGGCTTCGTGTATTCAAGGTCCGGAAATTGTAATGAGGGGTCTTAAGGGAAAGGTGCGGGCTTTCAGCGATGGAAAGGAAATTGAATAAAGTAATTATGCCGAAACATAATCCATATGTATTAGTTTATTCCCTGAAAGTTTCAAGAAAATCCGACTTAAAATAAATTTTTGGCGAACACTTTTGTCTGGTGCATTTTTTTCGAGTACAGGCCTTAATACTCATCAACTCATCAACTAGTCCTCTATTCTACGCGCCATAAACACCAATGTTGCCTGCTGAACAGTTGATTGAGCATAATCATAAGACATCAGTGACTTGAATCATTAATAATTTTTGCTCCTTGCATTTTATCGAAAAGTGGTCTTGAACAAAGTTGTAGCTGAGAGCATTTTCAACAAGCTCAGTTATCATTTTCTAAAGTAGAGTGAACTGGTGAATTTTGAGATAGATTTGAACCGAAATTATGGTTTCTCCATAGTAATTCCCATATAAACTTCAAATGGTTTGTGCCAAGCCAGTTTCTCACTAAATGAGTTAAAATTTTGGGAGGCTAATCAGGGCCCAATTTAGAACCGTTTGAGCACTGTGGAGTGAAAATTTCAAATTTTGCATCAGTCTAATGGTACATAAACACATGCAAACGCTTGTATGAGCCAAAAAAATCCAATGGTAAAGGGTGATACGGTCAAAATTTGGTCAAGGGAAAACGCGTGTAAATCGGTGAAATCGTTTATTTAAAAAATCAAATTAAATTTCTTTTTCAAGTTCAATTAGTATAAAATTCAGGAAAAATATTCAGTTAGGCTTCCGCTTTTCCAAATCCGAATTGCCGGGCCTTACGCTTGACCCCTGCCATCAGATTTTGTACAGCCACCTTGTCCACCTTCTTCGCCGCAGAAAGCCAGTTTGCCTTGAACTGCTGCTCGCCCTTAGCAGTTTTTTTGGTCTTCTTTAGGTTCCGCTTGACAATAGCCCAGTATTTCTCAATTGGGCGGAGCTCTGGCGTGTTGGGAGGGTTCTTGTCCTTGGGAACCACCTGCACGTTGTTGGCGGCGTACCACTCCATGGCCTTTTTACCGTAATGGCAAGATGCCAAATCCGGCCAAAACAGTACGGAACAACCGTGTTTCTTCAGGAAAGGCAGCAGACGTTTATTCAAACACTCTTTCACGTAAATTTCTTGGTTGACAGTCCCGGAAGCTATGAAAATGCTGCTTTTCAAGCCACAGGTACAGATGGCTTGCCAAACCAGATATTTCTTTGCGAACTTTGACAGTTTCATGTGCTTGAAAACATCTGCTACCTTTCCCCTTCCTTTTGCCGTATAAAACTCCTGTCCCGGAAGCTGCTTGTAGTCGGCTTTGACGTAGGTTTCGTCGTCCATTACCACGCAGTCAAACTTCGTCAGCATCGTCGTGTACAGCCTCCGGGATCGCGCTTTGGCCGTCGTATTTTGTTTATCATCGCGATTTGGAGTCACTGCCTTCTTGTAAGTCGATAGTCCGGCTCGTTTTTTGGCTCGATGCACGGTTGTAGACGATACACCCAGCTTATTTGCGGCATCTCGGAGAGAGAGGTTAGGGTTTCGCTTGAAACTACCGGCAACTCTCTTTGTCGTCTCAGCGGCTTCCGGTTTTCGATTTCCCCCCGATCCAGACTTCCTGGCTGTCGACAAACGTTCCCCAAACACTATAATTACATTTGTAACGGTTGATTTGGCAACTTTTAGCGATTTTGACAACTTTGCGTGCGAGTAGCTCGGATTTTCGCGATGCGCGAGCAAAATTTTGATACGCTGCTCTTCTTGCTTGGACGGCATTTTGACAACTGAAGAGTGAATTCCAAAATCAAAATAGGAGCAACATTCTACACACACACACCTTCAAAATGAGGGGTGTTCAGGTTTTTTAAATGCAAAATTGAAAGAAATACGTCAAGTTGATATTGACCAAATTTTGACCGTATCACCCTTTATTTGAACATTTACAAAGTACCATTATCCTTGCGTCTTAGCTTCTACAAAGTTCCATCAACTTCTTTCAAGTTCCTCAATTATTTTTTTTCCAATTTCTCTCAATTTGACCAAGATCTCAGAAAATCCATGACATGACCATGCTCTTCTCCAAACTTCAGGAAAGACTTTGAACTTGTTCTACGATTTATTCTGTACATCGGGTAAAACAATGTTCCAGTAAGTTCCCAAATCAAACCATTAAGTTTTAAGAATAATACTTTAGTTTTACAATACTCCCTGAGCTTTTACGAAATTCGAAGTTCACTGAGCTTGTAGAATTTTGAGAAAACTTTAACGAAGTTCCTTAAGCTTCTCAGAAATTCAATGAAGTTCACTGCCCTTCTTCAAAGTAATTGAAGCTTGAAGAAGAATTTGTATGAAGATTCTTAAAATTAAACAAAGTTCCCTTAACTTCAACGAAGTTTCCCAAACTTGAATAAGGTTCCCAATTTTTGCTATTGTCCAAATTTTAGAATGAACATCTACAAAGTTCCCGAAGTTTTAATAAGTTTAATTAAGTTTAAAAAATCGCTAAACTTCCATAAAATTTGCTAAATTTCAACAATATTTGATGAAGTTTTACAAAACTCCCTGATCTCCCCGAATGTTTACAACATCATGCTAATTTCTATTAAATTCATTGAGCTTCTACTAAGTTTGCTAAGCTTCAACAGAGTTAGCTGAACATCTATAAAATGTGCTGCACTTCTAGAAAGTTTCCAGAACTTCTTATAAAATCAATAAATATTAACGAAGTACTGAAAAGTTCTACGATGTTTCCTGAAGCTCTATGAAGTTCCTTGAAATTCTACAACATTTTTTTTGTTTTTAAGAAGTTCTCCGAGTTTCTGCAAAGTTTTCTGAAGTCAAATGATGTTCTCTTTACTTTTACGAATTCCACTTGACTTCTAAGAAGGTCCCTGAACTTCTGGGAAGACTCAGTTTTATTCATCTGAAATATTGAAAACCTTCCTCATCGATCTCGTTGAAGATTTATTCTAAATACAAATAGCATCCCTGGGCTGAATATTTCCCCGTTCGTGTCAGGGAAAACAGATATAAGAGCGAGAATTTGTTTCTCTTTTACGCTACCCTTATGGAATGTGATGAGGGCATCGTAAAAGTGTAAGAGCCACGCAATACTGAGAGTTCGTCATCTAATCAAAAATCCCGAGTACGACACTGAATTTGCAGCTTACGAGCTTACTGAAGAGAAGGTTTGGCTGATTTCATGATAGAGGGAATAACCATACAGCATTTCAGTGATTTAATCCACATCCAGTTTCAGCCTCGCGTTATCGTATCGCTTTACGCATACGGCTGCAGGGGGGCACATATCGGTCCAATTGAAACATAAAACATACTAACGATCTTCAATCAGCTGTGAAATATGGACACTCTCACAGTCATAACTTATCAGATCACAACAGTCCCTGTCATCGCTGTGAAGGGGCCTAAACCTATGGGATACATTTTACCTTGGGAAATCATGAAATATGATGCAAGATATTTCAATTGTCATGTAGCTTATGCCGTCTGTCTCGTGAAGCACAGACTTTTCGTTCTTCTGCTTTATTTATTAACTCTAGCCCGGTACCACCACAAGCTACCGGGCACGTTTTATAGTGCCACACGAAATAGGTACCATCAAAGATAATATCCTACTCCTACTCCCACACTGGCGTTCGCTCAGGACGAATGGAAATAATCCTCTTTTGATTTCAATCTCTTTCCATGGTATCACCCGTTCCGGTTTGAAAAATGCTTTCCCGCTTTGCCATCTACCCCGCGGTACCAAAAAAAAACACCCACGCAGTCAACGCAGGCTCTCAGTGAGTTGCAATGCAAACACCGGACCCGGGGGGAAACGGCCAAGGACCCACCGCTGCGGCTAATAACAACTACAACAGTACCACGTCGTCGTCAACTTTGCCGCCGAAACCGCCGCCACCTCAGCAGACGCCACCATCCGGATCATGGGGATCGCTGAAGGCCAGCATCCTGCGATGGCGCGGTTCGAGACGCCTGGTGCTCGTCATCGTTGCCATTGCGCTGCTGCTCGACAATATGCTGCTGACCGTCATTGGTAAGTACCTTTTTGTTATTAACCTTTACATTGCTCACTTGTGTTCAGCAGTTTACTGAACCCTTGAAAACTTCTTCACAACAATGTCGTCCAGTTCCATTATTTAATCATAATTCATAAAACGTTCGCTTACTCAAAGTTTCCTGCAATCCATTTCCGACACGCCGGAAGTGAGTGCAACAAGTTGCACCGAGCCACAAAGTACGCGACAATGACGAATTTCCTCTTTATGTCGCTTTTCATCCGTAATTCTCATGCAGAACATGCCTTCCATTTCCCACTCTCTGCTACTGCTAGCAATCCACAGTTGGTCGGTCCTTTGATATTCCTTTTCTTCTGCACAATGCAGTAATGGAATCCAACACCCCGGCGGCGCTCCCTCCATGTCCACATCATCTCCCCATTGCTAGAATCGTTCAGGATTATAATCCTCTTCTCGTCCTTGAGCTCCGGGAGTTCACAGCGACGTTTTATATATGGCAAAAGAAGTTGTCAAGTCCCGCTGAAGAACCATACGGACACCACAGTTTATTGGTATGTGTGCGGATTCCCACTCGGCACCCTCCAATTTCACACATTCACACACTACTGACATGACGTCGTTCTTCTATGCTTAAAATATAAACTTGGCTCGCGGAATCAAAGCTGCATTTGGATAAAAAGAACCTCCCGAGGACACACGCCCGAAGGAAAAAGGGGACATAAAATATAGTCAAAGCGTGATCCAACTGTTGAATGACTTCTACTCCTACTCAACACGATGAAGTAGATGCTATTCGTATGCTTCCCTGTACTAATGCAGTATCTACATATAGGGGTTTAGAGCCGTCCGTGCTCGGAGCACATAGCTAGTGTCGGGCGACATTCAACAGTTTGTTGCCGATGATGATGCAGACCGATATGCAGTACCTTCCTTCTGCAAGTGATATTAGCATCATTTAGCAACTCAGTTATTGCGCATTTTGCACCAAAGTAGACTCCCGCGCTAAAAATAATCCTTCTTAATTTATTTAGCTCATACTACACACTTAGAAAAACCTAATTTTACACGTGACGGAATCCATCTTTGAAATAAAAGATCAGATGTAAACAAATATTTCATGTAAAATTAAATGCTCCGAGACTGTAAAGTTCGTTACTCTACGAAAAGGAAGTTTGATTGAGTTGAATTTCGCGTCTGTTATGACTCAATTTTATGTCAGAGCACCTAAATTTACATGATTTTTTATAAGTGTGTATGTTAAGAAAAGTTATGACGTGTACTAAGAGCATTATAAATTTGAAGTTGTTTGTCGTGGCCCGTTGTTGACTGAATGATAAGGTTACGTTGGCACGTATGTTGACAGTATAATCAACAATCAATACGAAACTAACGATTTTAAATTGGCTCACCACTTTAGTAGCCTATTGGTCCCAAGCAAACGATTAACGTACCCTATTCTAGTTGAAATTCTATTACTACACTATGTTTGTTTTGATTCGCTATGAAAGTTTGACAGATAACATCAGGGGTGTGTGGATTCATGCAGAACATGCAGGAGTGAGTGAAATAGCTTGGGACTGCTTGGGACCGTTGTTCTGGTACTGAGTGAGCCAAAAATAATAATGATTTTCTTCGGGACCTCTATGTTACCTCTATGGTATAATTTCGTTTGCAGGTCCATTATGTGTTGATATTTAATTAAAAACGCAATTGAGCGCTGCTAATTGGGCCCAGATAACGGACATCTAGCACATAACATCATTATTATTAAAAAAAACAAAGAATGTAATTATTAATGTAACAAAACGATCTACATCTCATTAACGACAATAAATAAATAAATATGAGGAACTTGAGCCTCAAAAATTGAAACTTATCTTCGGGATTTGAAATGTTATACATAAACGATATGTTATACACCCTATGTAGCCCTTATGAACAAAGGTATGTAATAAGACTGTGAATTCCTGAAATTTTATAAGTCACATGGAAGGTTCTGGTTAATGCTAATGCTTTGGTCATTTACAAGGACGCCCGACACATTGCAAGACATGTTTGCAGTAAAACGAACCGGTTGAAACTAACGATTTTAAATTAGCTCACTACTTGACTAGCCTATTGGTCCCATGTAAATCTGAAAGCGTACCCCATTCTAGTCGAAATTCTAGTACTACACTATGTTTGTTTTGATTCGCTATGAAAGTTTGACAGATAAATTGTGGATTTTCCTATGTTTCGAGGGGTGAATCGATTAGCTTGGGACCGAAGATAGTACCAGAGCTGAGCCAAAAAGTTAAACACGTTTCTTCGGGACCTTCTGGTCTTAGAGTTACCTGTAGTTGCATGCAGTTCAAAGTTCCACATATGTTATGTGCATCTATTCTATTACAAGATGAAAAGGAAATTTATTTATCAGTGTTTTTTTTAGGATTAATCAGCGATTCTGTATTACACTTTCTATTTCGCCCGTACTTTTGATCAGGTGAAAGCTATTTGGTTTGCCTTCATGAATGAATTAAAGAGCTCAATTATTTGATTTATCAGATTAATGGACCCTTGTGGTTTCATATAGTTTTCAAAAATGTGCAAATTTTGTCACTTTTTTTCTTGATTTGTTTTCCGTCGATCTTGTTTTCCGTGCTGAGCACCAATGCTACCGACGCCAGGGAGGCCGCTCCCACACCTGGACCCTACCTATCGACCCATCAACGCATGAACCGGGGACCAACGGCTTTACTTCCCTTCCGAAAAAGGCGTGATCAGAGATATTATGCCTCAGAACAACCCGACAGCGCCGACTGGGATTGAACCCAGGCCTGCTGGGGTGAGAGGTAAGCACGGTTACAACTACACCACCGGCGCCGCTTAATTTTGTCACTTTGTGACTCATTTGATAACGCCTATCACTTTTTTGGAGTAATTCATAAAACAATGCATATTGGATGATGTTGACATAACTCGCCAATAGTTAAAATGGTATTGCTCATTTTGCAATAAAATACACTCTTGCGCTAAAAAACCCAACAAACTGCTACAATAGAGTATTATCGGAGGGAAAAGAACTTTGAAAAACTGTTAATTTTTAATTTTTATACACACTTGGAAAATTTGATGTAAATTTAGGTGTTCTGAGACAGACATATATGAGCGTCAATTTTGACACAAAATTGAGCGAAATTCAGCTCAATCAAACGTACTTTCGAACTTTTCAGTCTGGGAGCACTTAATTTTATATGACATGTTTGTTTACGTCTCATCCTTTATGTCAAAGATGGATTCCGTCACGTGTAATATTAGGTATTTCTAAGTGTGTAGTTACTTAATAGTGAACATTAATTGTGGAATGCTTCTTATATTATTAACTTCACAATTAGAAAAAAAAACATGTAAATTTAGGTGCTCTGAGAGTGACATATACGAGCGCCAATTTAGACATAAATTTGAGTAATAACAGACGCGAAATATACCTCAATCAAACGTACACACTTAGAAATAACTAATTTTACACGTGACGGAATCCATCTTTGACATAAAAGATGAGATGTAATCAAACATGTCATGTAATATTAAGTGCTCCGAGACTGAAAAGTCGTTCTTGATCCAGATGGCAATGCACACTACAAAAAAGACATGTAAATTTCAGTGCCCTGAGACCGACACATGCAAGCGGCTCTTTTGACATGAGAATCAGTTGAAAAGGACGAGAAAATCAATTCAATCAAACGCACTTTTCGTCGAGTTGCATATGTTTCAGTTTCATGACACTTAATTTTACATGCCATGTTTGTTTACGTTCCATGATTTACTCAAAGCTGAATTACGTCTCGTGTAAAAATAATAATTTCTAAGTGGTTTTGTTGTATATCATGCGATTGGCAGGATTCAAAAACTCAGGTAACGTATCTTCCCGAGCAGGAGAAAATAACTAATGAATACCTAATTCTGACCTGATACCAAAATTTGGTATTGACCAGCATGACATATAAGAGGTAAAATACCAAAGAATAATACAAAAAAAAACATGCAAAATACTTTGTAATTAACAAAAATTGATAATTGGATACCAAAAGAATACCTGTGTGGTATTGTTTAGGTATTGTATTATCATAATTTGGCATAGGAATGGTATTGTGGGAACATTTTTTGGTATTATTTTCTGGTATTTTACCTCTTATGTCAGGCTCATCCATACCAATTTAAGGTATCGAGATATTCGTTCCTGCTCGGGTTGGGTTTGATTTTTTTTATTTTTAGATTCATAGATCTCAATCATATCAATATCCTCGTCTAGATCAACATGTGAATTAGACGAATCAGTCAATTGTAAACAATGGCTTTAAACGCAAACTTTCTCGAGAATCTAAACACACCCACGCAAACTTACAATGCTAGCTGAATGAGGAAGTATCCCAATTAACAATTTGGGTTTTATGCTGGTTCTGTAGACCATGATTTAGACTTGTAGAATGCTTTAAAACCGCGATAAAACTTGCAATGTTACTTGGGATGCTCTATCATATGCTATCAAGATTACATGGGTGACTTTGCATTTGATGTCATACTTTGCGTTTGGCTCTTCTGATTGTTTCTAGATTTTAAATAACTTACACGAGCATTCACCTGCTGTCAACTTGGTATTCTTTGAAGCGCTTCCGTAGTTATTAATTGAAAGCTTTCTATGCCAACCAATGCATGAATTTGTATATTTTGTAACAAGCACAATGATACACACTTAGAAAAATTCATGTAAATTTAGGTGCTCTGAGACTGACATATACGAACGTCAATTTTGACATAAAATTGAGTCATAATAGACGCGAAATTCAGTGTTCACTCGGCTGTCGACAAAAGCAGGCCACTCTCGATGTGTGCTACGCGATCGTCTGTTTTCTCGGCAGCAACCATTGTGTGGTCCTCCTCATTGTTCTTCATCAGCAGTTCTTTCGGTCGATGCGTCGTCGACTTAGGAAAGCAACCGTTTCGTGATGAGTGTGTGAGTGCTGACCACGTTTTGCGT